GGCCTGCTGGATCCGGCACAAGCCGGGACTGAGCAAGCCCAGCTCAATCCCAGCTCGCTCCGGATCCAGGAGCTACCCCCACTGTGGCTCTGCAGTTCAAATGTAGGAGCCATTCTGTCTGCCCACCCGGCTCTTATTACATTTTAAATTGCAGAGCTGCAGTGGGGTAGCTCCTTCTGAGCACCTTCCCTTGTCGACTAATTGTGTAGTCGATACAAGTTGTGTCAACTTACATGATTACCCAATTACCCATCTCTTAACATCCTTAGTGCACAGAAGTATGTGTGAATGTGCACCACCAATAGAAACACACAACCTACCTGTGGGTGCTCTGCTAATCAGCTGGGCAGCATTTGAATTTCTTCTGAGTGGCCTCACAAGTGCACAGCTTACACAGGGAACGCTGCTCTTACGCTGACGGTGGCAAATTCATGCTTATTGACATGGACATGTGCTTGTTCTCTTGGGCATCAATGGAGAATGGCAGTTGCAGTAGTCCTATTGTGTCTGCTGCTACTAATATTGGTATTTAACTCCACAGAATTACTTGCCAAAAATCTTCTTTAGAGAGAAGTAAAACATGCAGTTTGGCTTTTTATATTGGTAGCCAGTGGAAATTGGGATTAAAAATATATAAAAATGTAAATATAAAATACAATTTTAAAATGTTTATACACAATAGCATTTTTTTTATATTAATATACACAAATGGAATTTGGTAAAGTTGTTTCAGTATTGAGTAATGAAACATCCAGATAACATGGCTCAAGTAGAGCTTTATTAATCAAAGATAGATTAGCACAATACACAAAGGCAAGGGTTAATAAGCCTGGATAGGAGCTCCACAGTGTCTTCAAACCTGCTGTGATTGGCCTGGGAGCAGAAGGGGAAGCACGCAAAGTCTCCTCCCACCACCGGGGCATAGGCGCCTAGGGGGAACCTGTGGAGGGGCAAAGACTTCACTTGCTCCCCCACTGCCAGACCAATCCTGGTCTGTGGGTGGGGAAGCAGGGAAGTGTGTTGGCCCCGCCCCTTCTGGTGTGGCCCTGGGCCACTTCAAAAATTTTTGAAGTGGCTCCCGGTAAATTATAGCGAATGTGAACGGGTAACCTTTAATGGGTGATGCTTACTAGGTAACACTTAACTGTTACCCGGGAGCAGCCCCCTGCCCGCGGCCCACTGGAAGCAGTGGGGAGGGGGGGCGCGTCAGCAGCCTCGTGCTGGGCCGGAAATGGC